CTCTCCCATTTCCTTTCCCCTTTCCTTTTACTCTTCCATTAACGCACTCCTTACTTTCTCCTCCCATCCCACAACCTCTCCCTAACACCCTCCTCCTACCCCTCTCTCTCTCCCAATTCTTCCTACCCTCACCCTTCCCATCTCTTCCATTCACCCTCCCACCATCTACCACCCACACACCTCCTCACCCCTCCCCCCCTTCCGCAACTAGTGAGTTCGTCCACTATGTTTACAGTAAAAAAAGATCAATCAAATGTTCCACTAATGACCATTAGAGAGGCTCACGTATCTCATGAGTAACAAGGATGATTACTTACTGTGGCAAGGGTTGTGGGGGGGGGGGGGAAGGGGGAAGGGGCAGGCATGTGTGATGGGGAAGGAGACGGTGGGGAAGGAAAGTGGTGGGTAAGGGTAATGAAAATGGGGAGGTGGGCAAAGAGGGAGAAGATGGGAAATAAAGAGGAAATAAGAGGAAATAAGAGAGGGGGGGGCTAAGCAGGCTCGATAACAGGGGAAACCAGAATTAGGAAGATAAAAAGTGGGTTAATTTCAATGAAAGTAAACTAGTACGCACATAAGGGTAGAGGAGAAGAAATGGTCAGTAAAGGCAAATGAATAATAAAGGGCGTTAGATGATCAAATAAACATAGAGAAGATAATAATAGCAGTAGAATGGAAGAGGAGGTGGAGCGGAAGAGAAAGGATCTGTTAATGGAAGAATATATAACGCAGGATAACATAACAGATAACATAACAGATGATTGAGAAGACACTTACACGGATGAAATGATATAACTTATGTTAAAAGAAGCAATAGAGAGAGAGAGAGAGAGAGAGAGAGAGAGAGAGAGAGAGAGAGAGAGAGAGAGAGAGAGAGAGAGAGAGAGAGAGAGAGAGAGAGAGAGAGAGAGAGAGAGAAGGATGAGAGAGAGATAGGGATGGGAGGGAGCAGGAGTGAAGGATATCAGGAATAAAGTAACGATATGGTAGATAAGGGAGAGAATATACGAAGAATAACAGGTGGAAGTGAAAGAAAAATGGCTCCTGTGGGTAGTGTGTGAGTGAGGGTGGGAGGGAGAGAGGCTGGGTGATGGGAGGACCTTCACTCAGCCAACTCTACCCTCCCATATTGACACTCTCCCATCCTCGAGTTCAGAACAAGTCACTGGTATTTTTAGCTGAGTGAGAGGTAGCTTTCAGCAGATATGACGCGGACCTCATAACTCCTCCTCTCTTTGTTCCTCATGTTCTCAACTGAGGAAGAGGAGGAGGAGGAGAAAAGAGAAGAAATATGATGAATAGGAAGAGTTGAAGGAAGGTGACTTTCAAATTTTTCATCCTATGGTTAGAAGTTTCCTCTAGTAAGTATTCTGAACGCCTCAGGAGTCAGTGTTCAGTAGTCACTCCTATACCTGGATGATTACCTGGTTGATGGGGTTCTGGGAGTTCTTCTACTCCCCCAAGCCCGGCCCGAGGCCAGGCTTGACTTGAGAGAGTTTGGTCCACTAGGCTATATTCACCTTTTCGGTGTATATACTCTGAGAGTTTACTTTAGTCCTGGACAATGTTCTGGACAAAAGTATACTTTCTGGCTGGTCAGTAAGCTGTTGTAGTGGCCTCAACGACCCAGGAGGTTGATAGATCTTAAGCCCAACTCCAAACCAACCTCCTCCCTTATCCCTCCTAATTATCCTCATTATACTTCCTCTCCCATTTCACCATTTTCCCTCATTCTTCTCATTTTAGTTGTTACTTTCCAATTTCTTTATATTATCTTTCTCCTTATCTCTCTCATCCCTCAAATGTTTGTCCCGATTCAGCTTTTCTTTTCGTGATTTTGTTTTCTAATTTGCATACAAACATGAATATTCTCGGTGTATGTAAATTCTGAAGGAAGAAAGGGAGATACAGGGGAAAAAGTAGGAATGAGAAACATTTCACATGGGCACTGTATCGGCCGTTTGTACATTGATCAGGATTCTATGTAAAAACGTTCATTCATTCCTGATAAACTGGTTCCTGATTCATTCCTGATTCCAGGTAATCTTAACTTCAATGAAAAGTGGCGCTGGTGATTGGCCGTTCAGGATTCTCTCGATTACTCAGTTACGAGTCCCTGGAGCCTCAGAGCGTCTTGTCCAAGCCCCTATATTCCTATTTTCCCATCTGTGCCTTACAGGAGGGGAAGAGGAGAAGGGGCGGTCGGGAAAGCCAAGACAATCCGAATCCCCTAAAATTAGGGAAATCCTAGAGCCTCAGGCTTCACCCCCTCTCCCTCAAAGTGTACCGTAAGAAAAGAGTATGAAGAGTCCCTGGATTTCAGGCCCCTCTCCCCTCCCCGGCCCCCCCCCCCCCCCGCAGCCTTCAAAGTGTACCGTAATGAGAAAAGGTACGAAACCGATGCCAAAAACTCCGGACCCTGCGGCAGCCGGGAGGAGGAGGAGGAGAAGAAGAAGAAGCTCCCCGGATCTTCTATTTGACCACCAATCGACGTGGTCATTCAATTGACAGCCTAATGACCTATGCCCGGGGGACGCTCGGGGAACGAATTGGTCTCTGGAGCGGACGGACGGAAGGGCGGTTTCCAGGAGAGTGTGGGTTAGGTGTGGGCGGCCCGTGGGCGGTATTTGCGGTGGGCAGCGGCAGGGCAAACACTGCCTCGTAACAGGTTTCTAGTGTCAACAGGACCGCGCCTCACCCCATTAATGTAAACGGAATGAGGAAACATAGGCATACGAGGTTGGAGGAGAAGGGAGGTGGAGGGAAAGGGTGGGGTAGTGGGGGTGAGATGGATGGTAAGCCACGTTAAACAACGTTACTGCCATGCCCAAGTGTGGGGGGTAGGGGGTAGGGGAGGGATAAGAAGGGGTAGGGAGGGAGGGGCGCAATCCGCGGCTCGTTAAACCCAAAAGAATGGACACGAGGTCTGCACACATCTTTTTATTTCCCTGTGTTTTATTTAAGGTCCCGGGAGTAAATCAGGGTGGAGGGAGGGACTTATATACAGCCCTGAGGTTTCAAGACTACACGGCGCGCACAAAACAGTGTTCCGGATGGTCATGGATGAATGGACATCCATCAGTCATCTGTTAGTACTCCAACAATCATCCGCCAACCGGCTGGACCCATCATGTAGAGGCTCGGCGTCAGTGAAGCAACAATGATCCAATGCATTAAGGACCACATATGCATGAAACCTAATTTCAATATCAAATGTTATCTGAAACATATAATAAGAAAAATATTGGAAACTGTAGGAGGTCCATTGACCCATGCTGAGGAAGCCATTACCTCCATCCACCCTAACTCATACACAAGTCCACCCTACAACTGTAGCAACTCTGCGATCCCACGCCAATCATGTGCTACTCGACTACTTTTTCCATAAATCTAAACCCTGCTTTCAAACCCAGCCTCCAAACCCGGCCTCCAAACCCGGCCTCCAAACCGTGTCTCCAAATCTTACTTCAAAATATTGCCTCTAAACCCTGCCTTCAAACCATGCTCAAATCTCTGCCTTCAAAAATTGCATTCAAACCCTACCTTCAAAGTTCAATAATGCCACACATTAGACTAACCCACAAGGTGCAGAAAACAGAAGGTATTCCAGTGCATAATGGAGTACCTAAGCAACAGAAGACAGAGTGCCACAGAGAAAGGAGGGTAAATATTAGCACTACCCGGCAAAGTCTAGGAGGCAAGTTCTTCTAGTAAGTATATACTAGGACACACCAGCGTATCTCCTATACTTTAGAATATTTGTGATACTCCAGCATATTTTCTATCGCCAGCATATCTTCTATACGACAGTATATCTGCTATTCTCCAGCATAGCAACAGCTACAGCTAGCTTCTATCTCACACTGTAAGCCTTCACATAGTCTGAACTGTGTAAATAACAACGTACCCAAAAATATTAATACAAATACAAATAAATTATGTCCCTACTGTCTAACGATTCCATATCCGAATCTTGAAGAATCATATTAACTGAAGTGTACATCATCGTACCTTTCTCTCCCTCACAAGAAAATATAAAAAAATCCCTCTTATCCTATCCAGAAAAACGTGGGATGTGTAAACTGCTTCTTTAAGATTGTAAGTGGTACTTTAGGAGAATAAGTTTTCAGAGGAAGTAGCATCTTACACAAGGGAGAGCACCTCACTTATAAGGGACAAGGAGCTGCCTATAAGGCAGCCTTTCCTGTATTACAGTAGTGAATGAAACTGTTGGTTGCTCATGCTGTTTAAAATCTTACATTAACCATTTTTTGGGGGAGAAAACTAAAAATATACTTAACGTAATGTTATATACTTCAGGGGTATACATAAGAAATACGTTAAGTATACCCCTGAAAATATTATTTAATATTTATTATATGAGTATGAGTATGAGTATATTTGGGGGCCTCGTAGCATGGTGGATAGCGCGCAGGACTCGTAATTCTGTGGCACGGGTTCGATTCCCGCACGAGGCAGAAACAAATGGGCAAAGTTTCTTTCACCCTGAATGCCCCTGTTACCTAGCAGTAAATAGATACCTGGGAGTTAGTCAGCTGTCACGGGCTGCTTCCTGGGGGTGGAGGCCTGGTCGAGGAGACACTAAAGCCCCAAAATCATCTCAAGATAACCTCAAGATAAGAAGATGTACGTGCGTATAGAGAGAGAGATACATAGATCCTTTGAGACATAACAGGGAACATTTTCAACACAGATAGGCACTAGCACAATTCAAATTGAAATTGAAATAAGTTTATTGAGGTAAAATACACACAAAGGGATGAGGTAGTTCAAGCTATTCTCCCGTTGGTCTTGCTTCTTGCAGGTCGGCGTTCAATCCCCGACCGTCCAAGTGGTTGGGCACCATTTCTTCCGTCCTAAATCTTTATCCTCATCCCACACCTAGTGCTATATAGAATTAATGGCTCAACGCTTATACCCATAACCTTCCTACTAGTATTATATTTGATATAATTATACTTTATCATCTCCAATTACAGCGGAAAACGAAGAGGATGACAAATTTTTCAAGACAATTTCCAACACTGGCAGCTGAACACAACCAAATCCTTTTCCCTATACAAGACGTGAAGCACTCCAACAAGTGGAGCGAGGAGGAGGATAACAGAGACATTGAGAAATACTCTCCATCAGAGACAGATGCGCACACAAACTCTCCCGCAAGAGACAAGAATCTCTCCAACATAGACAGGTGCAGAGTCACCGCCATTTGACATACAGTTGGGGCCGCGAGCTCCTCTCAAGACTCGACCATTCAGGGCAAAAAGAAGGATGAAAGGGGAACAGCTTTACTGCTACATGCTCTGCCAGAATTGGAAAACTCAATTGGTTTGAGGTCAAGAAGGTATAGGTACTTAGGGAGGCAGGGAGGAAAAAGGTAGAGGAGAGGTAGGCAGGTTGATGTAGGAAGGTAAGCAGGTAGGTGGGCTAAGGGAGCGAGGTAGGTAGGCGAGTGTGTAGAGAAGTGGGTAGGAAGGGATGAAGAGGAGACATCGATGGTCGGTGGAACTCAAGTGATGAGCAGTAAGAGGAAGTCAAGATGGTAATTGTATTAGTGGAGAGGGAAGCATTCATAGAGGGAGACCTACGCAGAGAGTGACCTACGCAGAGGGTGACCTACGCAGAGGGTGACCTACGCAGAGAGTGACCTACGCAGAGGGTGACCTACGCAGAGAGTGACCTACGCAGAAAGGGTGACCTACACTGACCGAGACATACAATAAAGGCTGGCTATGTGTAGTGAAAAATACATAGAAGATCACATACAGATTAAGTACAGCACTAAAGGAATTTTTATCAACAAATAGGTACCTACACAGAGGTTGGCCTACATAGAAGCAAGTCTACATAGAATGCAACACACAGAGGACAACCTACAGAGGTCGACCTACAAAACAGAGAGATCCCAGACATTGACCTACACAGATTTAAACTAGAACACACAGCAGGATTAAAATAACCAGCTGAGAATATGAAAACGAGAATTCGTGATAAACAGTGGAAATACAAAAACTTATAATAACAAATAACCAAACAGGAAATAGTAGACAGTGAATATAAAGAAATAAAACACATAATGTTAACCAAAGAAATATAAACAATAGAATAAAAAGGTTAAATACAAAAAGTGAGTAACGAGAGTATAGACGGATAAAAGAATAGCAATACACAGTAAACCTGAGAGATAACAAAGGTAACGATAACAGTAGAAATAGAGAAGAGACGGAAATTTACGAGGCTTCGAGGTCTGCCGAAATTGTTAAAATGTGGTCTTTGCGGAATGAGAAATTCACCGACACACAATGATGGGGAGAAAGTGTGATGATTGGAGGAGTGTTGGGGAGAGAGAGAGAGGTGGAGTGTTGGGGAGAGAGAGGTGGAGTGTTGGGGAGAGGGTGATGGAGTGTTGAGGAAAGGGGAGGAGTGATGGTGAGGTGTATTTTTGGAAAGGATGGGGTTGGGGTGCTGTGGAAGAGATCTATTACAAACAAACCCGAGTGTTGGAACAACGGGGCCAGCAACACAAGAGATCAATTGCAGTCACACAAAATTGTTAAGGGGAAAGTTGACTAGTGGGAGAGAGATGGATTTGAGACACTGGCGATAAAGATGTGACATAGATTGAGGAGTGAAAGTGGCACTGACACATACACACACACACACACACACACACACACACACACACACACACACACACACACACACACAACCAACGACCAAAAAGGCAGAGTCCAAGAGTTATAACAGCTCAATCCTGCAAACACATATAATAAATTCACATTCAAACAAGCTCTAAGAGGGGCTGACAGTAATGGAACAGAATGAGACACACACACACTAACCACAAATAAAAACGAGTATCCAAAGATGGATACTGGTACACCCAGACGCGCCTCAAAGCAGTTCCTCAGAGAGTCGCGCAGAGCTGTACGGGAACACAGGAAGGAAACTTGAAGCCGAGGCCAAGCGTGGTGGCGTGAGAGGAAGGTCGACCCAACAAACAGAGCTGATATTTATTATTATTAACATCTTTATTGACAAAATTAATTACAATTTTGCCTAATCTGAGGATTTTGATAGTCTTATTAAATTGAGGTCAATGCTAGTATTCACTGTCACGCAGGACAGAGGGTCATACATAAGACAATAGGTCTAAACTGTAGGCTGAAGCACATATATATCACGGTTACAATCAATGTTTTAATGTGTGGATATGTGAAAACAACTTTCTATTGTGCACTGCCACACAAGGGCAGGGATGGGTTCATAAGTGATGCAGCTTAGAATATAAGTAGAAATTGTTCTTCATTCTTTAAAATGGACAAGCAAATTTTGGGTAAATTGTTAGGATGTCGTCCAGAACACCTGAGTCAATAAAATAGTTACACAGTTGGTGGTACAATAGGCCAGGAGGTCTAAAGTCCTTTACGGTTTCACATTCATCAATATAGTGTTCTAGTGAATGCATTAAAGGTTTATCACAGAGTTTACAATCTGAATATTCTGGTAGTGGCTCAGCCTCACTAACCTGCCAGATGTGTCTATAGCCAAGGCGAATTCGCGCAATTACTACATCACATTGCCTGGTCCGGTTACTGTGCTGACCATACAAATACCTATTATTACAGAACTTGTCATAACTTTTAGTACTGCAGCTTTCAGGTCTCTGTGCATTTAGGCATAATTAGGGGAATACAGACATCAACGCGAGCACCTGCAGGAAACGGGCGAGCTGACATAGGTAGAAAATTGAATGAAACTAGACAATAAATGAGCCATATGAATACAAGAAGACGCTGTAGAGTAGGACACAATTGGAAGGATCAAGGCGGGTATATAGTCGAGGTCAACTTCATGAACAATATTCTGAAGTCCGTCGACTTGAGAATGGTCCAGAACGGACCGAAACGTCGTCGTCTCTTCACTTTCTAGTGTGTGGTCTGGTCAATAGTATGAAAATAACTAAGATTCGTTACAAGACAGATACGGTCATAGCATTTAGTGACCAGCGGCCGATTGAAGGGGCTGAAGAGCTGATTATACTTCAGTCACATATCGATGAGGGCACATAGAGCAAATGAATGGCTCCAGAGTTCAAAGTAATTTTGAGATAGGCGTAAAGAGAAATAAGAGTGATTGAGACAGACATTCACAAACGGACATGCACAGAAAGAGAGTCAATACTAAGCTCGGTATAAGTGGAAGATGACCCGACCACACACTAGAAGGTGAAGGGAAGACGACGTTTCGGTCCGTCCTGGACCATTCTCAAGTCGATTGGTCCGTCCTGGACTATTCTCAAGTCGATTGGTCCGTCCTGGACCACTCTCACAATCGACTTGAGAATGGTCCAGGACGAACAGAAACGTCGTCGTCCCTTCACCTTCTAGTGTGTGGTCTAGTCAACTTACTTTAGCCACGTTATTGTGACTCATCGCCTTCATAAGTGGAAGAGGCAATGACAATAGGTGGTCAGATAAATGTGGAATTGGGTAGGAGAGCAAAGGAATCAAAATACTTGGGGATAAGCGTAGGAGAAGCACTCCCATCCATGTATAGAGAGTACCGTGAGAAGCGTATGGAAGCAGAGGAGGAGGAAGAGGAAGAGGAGAAGCAGGTAAGCATTCAACAGGCCAGAGACCCCCCCCCCTTAAATGTCCAACCCAATGGTAAACAGGCCCTGTCATGCCTCCGAGTTATGATTGGCCCGTCACTTCCCTACCCCGAGGAATGCTACAAGTGACAGAAACATAAACACTAGCCACCTCGTGTCAACAAAAAACCTGTGAACAAAGATAGGGTCCTGCCTCTTCTTCCACAGATTTGGCTTCAGTGAGGCAGTTACTGAAAAAACATGAAAGACTCAACAGACAAATTTACCGCGTTAGCGGTTGTAACCCTCTCCCTGCTTTGCATACTTGTAAACAAAGATATACGGAGGAACATACCTGTGAAACCAGTCGTTGACACCGAGTTACCTGGGGCAGCAGCTCGCGAGAATTGAAGATTTTGTGGTGGAAACTTAACTAATTACAAGCAGAACAAGTGTTACTGGCTGACGATATGCTGAACGTGAACACCGAGCGTGTCTATTGACCGTTTATTCTCAAAACATTGGTCAAATGATCGTTAATCCCTTGATACACACATTCCACCATCAGAGCCTCAGACACAATGAGCATCCAGGCTGTGGCCGGTGCGCACGACTCCCAGCTGATTACGTTCGAGCTCTCCTCGAACAGTGTTTCGTTCACATCCTGCGTTCGAAGCGCCACTCTCTAAATGCTTCACCAACGTACTGTAAATACAATTAATTCAGCGCATCATCAATACAAACGGCCGTCGGGTTCATAGTGTATTAGTCAAATACTGACATTTAAATCTACATATGTCATTATTTTGCTTATAGTTCACTTGGCCGCGCTCGAAACGTGCTTCGTTTACCTTTAGGATGTATTGTTAACACTCCTTCAGTCAACGTAATCAAAAACACCTTAACTGACTTTACTTAGACCTAACCACACGCAAAACCATAACATAATAATATTAATTTATTTTTTAGAAAAAATCCGTATGCTCTTATACCGAAATAAAGATTTATCCTGTCAGTTTGTTGTCAGTAAGTTTGACCAAAGTAGGAGGCTAGACACCTTGGGCTAGTCTCACTCAACTATCCCAGATGACATATATGGGAGTTATATGAGTGTTATAAACTACTCAGGGTTGGTCCGAGTAGCAACCTCTAAGGAATATTGACATCTATAGCAACCCCTCCCCTCCTGTGATTTTCATTGTCTGAAATTACGGAATTCCGTAGAATTTTGAAAAGTTTTTCAGTATTTCGCAACATGAAATTTTCAGAGAGATAGAAGAGAGGAAGAAGTGGGGATAAATGAGGAATAGGGAGGAGAAGTGAGAAGTGGATTTTTTGGAGAGAGAGGATGCTAGATGAGAGAGGGTGAATGGCAGAGAGGATGGGAGATGGGGGAGAGGGGAAGAGACTAGAGTTAGGTGAAAAGAAATGAGAGAGAGGAGAGAGACCCGGCCAAAGCCGGCTGCCCTATCTAGTGATATATTCATAAAGTTTTAATTATTTGACAAATTTCCGTTTTTATTATTATTATCAAACAGTGCGATAAACTTGACGAATGCGGCTTTTTGATCGGCGGCAGCTTGGACGAGTATAGCTTGAGGATATAGATCGATATAGACAATGATAGACGATATAGACAACGATAGACGATATAGACAACACAGTGAAACACAACCCTGTAAGTGTTGTGGATTATTTGATGATGGGAAAGGCAAATATAGAAATATTTATTAAATAACCCAATTAAAATTATTATTTCTCCACATGACTCGAGTTAGATTTGATTTGTTGCAAGCTGCAGTTGCTGACACTTGTGCAATTATCTGCAGTTTCCTCCGCTGGTGCAGGTGTCGTCATCGCCTGAAAATTATATATTTTAGTAAGCTAAATGGATAGTATCGGTTACACGAGCAAATAGCAATAAGGTGATACATCAATGACAAAATCACGAGGCGGGCGTCTGCGGTGACTCAGGACGCTGGTTCGATGCTCCGTCCTGCTTCTGATAGTATCGAAAGTTTCGCGATTATTTCTTCCTTTCGTTAGCCAATCATTTGCAACATGTTTGAATTGTTGAATGATAGTATGATGTGATTGTCAATGTTGCCAAAAAGAGTTCCATAATTGTGCCACAAGCGACTACCAGATAAATGGTCCTGCTGCACGAACAGAATAATTTCGCTTGTTCATTTTTAACGAACCAAGTTAAATTTTAACGAACAAGTTTTAACGAACACTAAAATTGGCAAAATTGTAAAACTTCTTTTGGCAACAAGCTGGCAACCAGAACATAGTTAGCCCAGTAATATCATGTAATATATATAATAGGTTAAACTATAATAGGTAAAATATAATAATGGTTAATAGCACAAACATTGTATTCTATAATTTGTAAGTATACCTGCCTTGTTTCAGATGAAGTTGAAGTGCAGTTTTAGTTGGTAACAGTTAAATGTCTTAGCAGATAACGTGTAAATATTTATAATAATAATTATTCACATTTTATGTTTAGTATTATGTGTTGTTAGCCAAACAGTTACAAGATTATTTAGCTGTTAAAGTGACAGTATTTGTTTGGTCGGCAGCCGGTTGGCGAGTGGCGTTCTATAATTTTAAGTATTTTAGGTAGAACGAACGTCTAATTTGCTCTATTCGTGCAAGCGGAACATTTATCCGGTAGTCGCCAACCCGTAAGTGACGTACTGTTTCGTTTTCTGTTTGAGTCGTCCGGCCTACTCGGTAAGGTTAGAAGAGGAAACTTTCAATTAACGTTTTTCATAACGTTTTTAAACTTTTTGAGAATTTCCTGCCCACCTAACCTATCAGAGGACCCTTAACTTACTGTTGTTGAACAAAAAATCCCAAATGTATTTTAATTTTTTTTCATTTTCAAATTACGTCCACTTTCGGCCATATTGGTAAACGGCCAAAAGCGACATTATTTTTAAGAGGATTGGTTGACTACACACATCGCATCCCTTGTTCGGAAGTCTGTTCTTGAGGGAGGGATTTACAGTGTAGCTAAATGCAACTTTTTGTTAACTTTGAAGAATACTCTCAGTCCAGCAACTTCTTTTCTCTGTTGCAATCTACATTTACGGTGCTAGGTCAAGTGCATTATCTTTGCTCCTCATTAAATGCGAAGCCCTCTCTCGAATTGTGTCTGACAGCTTAAGACTGTGGACTGGAACCCCATATTAGTGGTAAATGCTCCACTATAGATCTGATTTGGAAGCTGAAAAGTGTTATAAGTCCCTCAGTCTCTATGTGATGGGCTGTCCTTCCGTAAACAGGCTAATTTCCTTGTGCGTTTGCCTGCAATATTGTTCAGGTCTTATGAAGGACAAATTTTCCACAATTTCCAATACTAATTTGGTAATTGATGGGTTGTGTATTCGTGTTTTCTTGTCTTGACTTGTAACAATAATTCTGGCGCCTCTGTGAGATAGTCATCAGTTGGGGTTTAATGTGGTTTGGACCGTACTGGGGTTTGAGTTGCGCGCGTAACTCATTCTCCGATTAGTGAAGGATGTTACTCATTCTTGGACGAGGGTGAGGGTAGCTTACTCATTCATGGATAGGTAAAGGGTATTACTCATTTTGTAATAGACGAATGGTTTGTTTCCCATTCTCGGATTGAGAGTATGTTGTAATACATATGAGCTATATTAATACAAACGCATTATCTTATAGTAGAAGTGTAAGCCATTATTCACTGAAGGTTAGTGTATATTTAAAGAATAGCAGCAATTAAATAAATGTCTCATTTTAGTGTGATTAGATACGCCAAATCTGGCGTTTGAAATATTAAATATATAACTATCCTACATTTTCCCATTTACTGAAAAGTGCATAATTGTTGTGCGCTTGTAGTTATTGGATAATTTCACTTATATCTGTGTGGTTATGATACATAGTTCGGTCGGAACCAAGAGATGTGGCGAATATTTTAATATTGGCCTTGTTTTATTTTATAGCGGATATGAGATACTAGTATTTATACATTTTTACGTTTGTGTGTATGGATTCGAACTTATTCTGCATTTCCAGGCCCGAATAATTTGTGTATTTGTAAAGTAAATATGGTTTTGCCAGTATATAAGTAATTAATTTTTCAGTGTGCTTATGTTTTAAATTGGACTTTTGTGATTTTATTTTACTGTTGTGTCTTACATATGTAAGTTTCCTGGAAGTTAGAAGTTGTAACTATAATGGGCCGGATGATTTAAATATTTGTTTATTCAGAGGATTCCAGGAGCTGGTAATTCCAACCATTATCTCATCCACTGTTAGACTAACAGCAGTCGTGAGTGCAATCCATGACCAGGCTAATGGTACTGTATGTTGTATAAAGAGACAGAGTCCAAATACAGCTGTGTACACAAAACTGTTAATTGCTAAGGTAAGGTGAAGGTAATTATGAGGAGAAAGCTCTAACCCATTATGACTTTACAGCACTTTCAAGGGACATGACGAAAAGGAACTGGAATATAAGGACAAGGACCTGAAATATGAGGACAAGAAGCTGAAATATGAGGACAAGGAACTAGAAAATGAGGACAAGAAGCTTGAATATGAAGATAAGGAACTAGAAAATGAGGACAAGAAGCTGGAATATGAGGATAAGGAACTAGAATATGAGGACAAGAAGCTGGAATATGAGGACAAGGAACTAGAAAATGAGGACAAGAAGCTTGAATATGAGGATAAGGAACTAGAATATGAGGACAAGAAGCCGGAATATGAGGACAAGAAACTGGAATATGAGAACAAGGAGCTGAAATATGAGGTTAAGGAGCTGAGAGATATGAGGGCCTACCACTCAGGTTAATTTATATTGTTTAATATTTCGATTGTATGTGTTTTCTATTGGTAGTTTTCGGATAACAAAATCTTAAGGATCTATACAAAAGCAGGAAAGGTACACCACATATATCAAAGATACATACCAAATGAAACCACAACAAACGTTACATATCAATGAGGAAACGTTGACGCTATACAATAGGATCGAACCCGCGTCCCTGGCCCCTATGAAGAACACATCCCTCGTGTTGAATGACATAAACCCTCAACCTGAAAGAGAACTACGGCAGTTGGAGCAAGAAACAAAGACAATCGTGAACAGAAGCGTTTTTGTTTTTTAACAACGGAATTTCTAAACAATTAGTTTCAAGCACTGTCCAGCAGAATCGGAACGTCCAGTGTTACCAAACCCACGTTATTTACATCACGTTAAAGCGTTTGAGACTAAATATCATTTCGTCTATACTTTCACAATGCCAGATGTATTTAAATACAATTCAATCGTAGCTGAGGATGGTAAATTAGGTATGGCTGCGGTTTGGTAATCGGAAGGGATACACAATGATATCAAGTGACGTGAGATGGATATATAATGATATCAGGTGACGTGAGGTGGATATACAATTATATCAGGTAACAAAAGGTGGCTATACAATGATATCAGGTGACGTGAGGTGGATATCCAATGATATCAGGTGACGTGAAGTGGATATACAATGATATTAGGTGACATGAGGTGGATATCCAATGATATCAGGTGACGTGAGGTGGATATACAATGATATTTGGTGACGTGAGGTTCATATACAATGATATCAGGTGACGTGAGGTGGATATACAATTATATCAGGTGACGTGAAGTAGGTATACAGTGATATCAGATGACGTGTGGGGCATATATAATGCTATCAGGTAACGTGTGGGGGATATACAATTATATCAGGTGACGAGAGAAAGATATACAATGATATAATATGACATGAGGGCAAAGATACAATGGCATGAGGGGGAGATACAATGACGCGAGGGGGAGATATAATGACGTGGGGGGAAATACAACAACGTGAGGGGTAGATACAATGAGGCACAGGCGAAAGGAAAAGCTTAGAAATGGGAAATATAATGTGAGTTATGATAGCATGCGGGCTATCCGCCTTGCTGACACGATGTGTGTGTGTTGGCAGCTAAGATAAGCTCACTCTCTCTTGTCAGGGAGCTGGGAGTATGTGTGTGAGGTTTCTCACGAGTATTTCACTTCATATGGATATCTATAGATGAATAATGTGTAGCATTGATATATTCACATGCTTTTGATGTTCTGTTTAAGGGGTCTACGTTTTTAGTAAGAATATTATTATTATAATTATTATTGCTAATTTTTCATTAGGGTGGGGGGAGGGGTTTCTGATCAGTATTTAATCTAGCAATTGTGCTTTGTCTGGCTTGGTCTCCAGCTAGTAGATCGAGGCTCTTGGGTCACTTGCTGTGGGAGTGGGGCATCTAATCTTGGAGTGATCTTTCAGGCACTAAGTCTTCTAACATTTCGATCGTGTTCCACACCCTGGTGGCTTGGTGTTGTAGTCTGATGTGTAGTGGTTATGTGTTCAGGAGTTCATGGAACTCCTGGATTGTCCGAGCATATGATGGACGGTATTTTGCAGCTCATTGTTAGATCCTTACTTTGCACTGCTTGTAGCTTTTCCATGTTGGTTTTCTTTAAGGTATGTAATGGTATTTGAGGGTATTCGAGAGGCGACCAGACTATAGAGTGTTATATAAGTGTAGCTGTATGATCGTGCTA